TCTAGTTATTTGTTTCAAAGTGCTGGATAAAACAGTTGTTGTGGTGGGTTTTTCCACCAGCAACGGGGGGTGGGGTATAAAAAACTTTATCTCTTAGTCGCCAGACAGTTTTATCACTCAGCTGTATTAAAAGAAAGTTTAAAAATAAACTCATGTGAATAAAAAAAAAAATTAAAATAGGCCCATATAACTGAAAATTTAATATGAAAACAATCAGATACTGAATAAGATGTCATCCATATTTTAGAGGTTTTAGTATTAATTTATGTGAAAATCTATCAGTCATCTTCCCGAACCAGGATTTGGGGAGTTTTTTGTAGCACAAGAATAAAATACTGTAACCGTGTAAACGGTCTTACCCGTCCAAGATAAACCATAACATTATTGTACCAAATTCATAATACGTCGATATTTCAACAATACGAATCGTGTCATTGTCCTCTATTTACGAAATGCATAAAATATAAGTGATGAACAATGTGAAGAATAACACAGGCTTGTGAATTTAAACTCCATAAAAGTTGTTTTGGTTTTAATAACGGATTTTCCATAATTTAGCTACTCAAATTTCGAAAATAATATTCATTTTTTTCTATCACGTAAGGATTTTTCACAAATCAGGAAGAAAAAAACTCTTACTTAGATAAAATTAATACTTCGTTTACCACAATGAACAATTTTTATTATGTTTGTTAACAAAAATACAAACAAACTGAAGAAAAGTCAAGTTTGATGTCAAATGAATATGCATCATCATTCATCATGATTTTTTGTGTGTGAAATCTACGTCTTCTAGTCTCAAAACTACGTGTTGTGGTCTTTCTTTTACGTATTGCGTTATGACGTTTTGTGAAAAATATGTACGTGATGGGGAAAATTGATATCACTTCCGGATTCAGCGTACAGGATTTACTGTAGAATATGTAAAAAATATAAAGACAATAAAACCATCGCGGGCCTGTGTAATAAATACTCTTATAAAGTCAATATTAAAATTTAGTTTAAAAGGTTTAAAACATTACTACCAAAGTTAAACGAAAACATTCGCACAAATCGCACGGCGCCTTCACAATTAATGACAATTATAAATCAAAACTTTAATAACAGTAAAGTGGAAATTGCACTGTCAAAAACCTTTCTTTAGTGGAACATTCATGAGTTTACTCTAAATTTTGATATTTTAATTTATTAGATACATTGAAGTAATTAAAGTTATAAAAACTAAAAACAATGCCACATCTAAGTAAAATGGCACATTTGCGTAACTTAAACAGTATAAGATAATTTTTAATGATTGTTCAGTATACCTTAAAATAAAAGCATTTACTCATGTATTTTTACCTTATACTCCAGGAAATTATAAGTGAAAGTCAAAAATAATATCTTATAAAATGTTAATCACACTACATCTGTTATATTCATTACCGACGAGGCCTTTCGACAAATACCAGGGCTCATTTGGTCGACTGGGGCAAGACAGGCATAGTAGTGCTGATTATGTTATCAATCTTTATGAACAATGACTGTTTGTTTGTTTGAAGTTAAGCAAAAAGCTACACAATGAGCTATCTGTGCTCTGCCCACCACGGGTATCGAAACCCGGATTCTAGCGTTGTAAGTCCGCAGACATACTTCTGTGCAACTGGGGGGCAACAATGACTGTTATGATATGAATCACATTAAGCAAGTGAATTGTAATTATTATCGATTTTATTTAAGTCATTTACAAATCAGATTTTTACTACAATGATTAATAACACAATATTATTATTCATTTTGTAACACCAAAGAAATTACTTCTTTGAAAAAAGAAACAACAATAAAAAACAGTTTCCTCATTTACTTACCCCAGTTAGTAAAAGTAGATAGATAAGTTCTATAATTTTTTGTGGCTTTGCCATCGGTAATAGAAATAAAAATTGTTAGAAAAGTAAGGTTAAAGTTATTTCTTACCGCTAACTTTTTAGATTTGGCTTAAATCTTTTTCATCGTCTGTGTCAAGAGTGAATTTGGCATTTTATTGAATATGAAACCTCAATTTTTCACTTAGTTTTTTTTAGTTTATTTAATTATTTTTTATTTATTTTCCTGGAGCTCAATGTACTATATTTACATAGAGCTTTCGATGTGACTGTATTGTATACAAATATAATACGCTGAAACTTTTCATAGATTTATCCTTTAAGCAACTTCTAAGGTTATCATTATCATAAAAGCCAAGTGTCAATCGGTCACGCTCGATTTCTCCAAATTTCGTGAGTTACACGAGTGCAATTCCACTTTGTTCTCCTATAATTCTCCCTCTTTTGATTGCCCGTTCCCATTTTAGTTGAATTCAATCGTCAACATAGACGTAAATAGCTCCTACATTTCGGCACTTTTTTCTGCTATATAAAAGCCTGTTGTACCAAGTAAGGCTAAAGATGAGTATGGTGGTTATAAATTCTGTAACTAGAGTTACACATAAGTGTTCATGGAGTAGTTGTACCAAGTAAGGCTAAAGGGCTAAAGATGAATATGGTGGTTATAAATTCGGTAACTAGAGTTACACCTAGGTGTTCGTGGAGCTGTTGTACCAAATAACGCTAAAGATGAGTATGGTGGTTATAAATTCGGTAACTGTAGTTACACCTAGGTGTTCATGGAGTAGTTGTGCCAAGTAAGGCTAAAGATGAGCATGGTGGTTACACATTCGGTAACTATAGTTACACCTAGGTGTTTATGGAGTAGTTGCACCAAGTAATGCTAAAGATGAGTGTGGTGGTTATAAATTCGGTAACTATTGTTACACCTAAGTGTTTATGGAGTAGGGAGTTTTTATTCCCAGGATTTATTTAACACCGAGTGAAATTAATTTGCCATTTGTTATGAAGAGAAGTTTCTGAACGTTGATCGAGTGTTTACAAGAAATGTGGTGTTAAGAGAAGTATTGCAATAATGATGTGATTAGGAAATATCTGTGATCAATGAATGCTGGGACAAGGATCGATGCTGGGAAGAGACACTCTTTAGATAAAGTAGATATTGCTCATGATAGGATTTGGTTTTCCAAAGCTAGAAGGCCATGTATTTTTCTTATGTCTGGTCTGTTTACGGGTGGCAAAGTTGCAAATGCGTAGCCTCCCAGTGGCACAGCGGTATATCTGCGGACTTACAACACTAGAATCTGGGTTTCGATACCCATGGTGGGCAGAGCACAGATAGCCCATTGTGTAGCTTTGTGCTTAATTATAAACAAACAAACAAAAAAACAAGCAAATGCGTACTGTAAGATTCAAATTTTGTAGGCTTTGGATCAGTGGAGGTAAACATTAGCCTGTATTCAACTAATGTTAAGAGTATTATGTTCAAAACGCTGGGTTTTCAGTGATAATTTACTCCTGATATTATATCAGATACTTTCGCAAAAGCAGGCTTTTTTTCTTCTTCTTTTAGTTTAATAGTTAAACCTGTTCCTATCTTCTGACATTGTTTATTGTAATGCTTTTGGTGGTCGGCTTTCATTAGTCAAGAAATATATGATCTTCTCTACAATTCACGATAACAACATACATAACTTAAGGGCTGTTAACTAGAAAAAAGTAAACGGTTTTGTGTTTGTTGAGAACCCAACTGTAAAAGATTTTGTCTTGTAATTTTATCAGGAGTTTGATATTCTCACTAACACGCCTCAATCAGTTTCTGGGTCAAACATAATCCATTTTACATTTCATGTCAAAGTTCACGAGAAAAGGTTATATAAGTATGCACATGTTACCCATTATTTTCCCCTTTCTCTAATTTTCGTCTTTAAATTGACAGATTTGTCTCAAACTGTTAGCTTATGGTTGCTTATGTAAGCGTATTTCTTCACTAAATTTGTATCGCGTCGTTTAAAGTACCTTGTCACACATAACCACTTTTTTCCACAATAAGAACAGTTCACACCAAATCTTGTGTCAGATAAAAGTATAGGTCAGTGAAGCACAATAGCACTTATAGGAACGACTATATATATTCAAATATATTACGCTAGACAATCATATATATATATAATGTTTTTAACCACTAAATCCTTCAGTAAACATATCAGTACCTATATAAATGGTTAACAAGTATGATTACACTTTACTATCACTTCAAACTATCGAATAAAAACTTTCAAATTCTGCAGAACCTTCTCCATTCTTCATTTTTACTCTCAACAGATCACACCTACTACGATTAATTACGTCGGAAATCAGGGTGCTAATACTCGTTTTTAAAGGTTGTCCCCGTCTGTGTTGTATAACTATTATAAACTCTAGCGATATGAACGTAAACAAGATTCTTGCAACTGAACTTCTTCCAGTATAGTATGTTTGTTTGTTGGATTTAGCGGAAAGCTATTCGAGGTTTATCTGCTCTAGCCGGGAACAGTTTTGAAGTGATAGACTAGAGGAAAGGCAGCTAATCAGCACTATCCACCCCCAATTCTTGGGCTTCTCTTAACAAATTAATAATGGGTTTGATCGTCTCTATATAACGCCCCCACGGCTGAAAGAATGAACATGTTCTATCACAGGATTCGATCCCACGACCCGCAGATTGTGAATCGCGTGCTCTAACCATAGCAACAGATATTAAATTCCATTCTGAAATATGGGAATAACTCAATAAAATCCTACTTCCAGATTATCTTATATTATATACATTTTTTCGCGACCTTCCGGTCTCATGAAGAAATACCTTGCAATGTATTACTTAGTACTTTTTTGTAGTATAAATAAAAGTCTAATTTTAGGTGTCTCATTAACTGACCTTATGACTTTTTGAATTGTTAATAAGATATGTCGTTCGTCATTTCATTTTATAGGTAAAATCTCTACACTATAAATATAATCCATACGGCATTATTTTATTCAAATTTTATATAATGTAGTTAAACCTTTTTATCTGATAAAAGTTTTATACTCATTACATGGTTATAAATAAAGTCAAACTATTATGTGATTTCAATGACGTCTATTATCTTATCTTAGGTTGAAGTTAACCTTCTCGTGTATGATGGAGTTGGAACGTTATCCACTCGACTCTCAGATTTGCACCATTGAGTTAGCATCATGTAAGTTTCAACTTTGTCACTTTTAATATATTACCTATAAATATTCCTTTATTGGTGTCACTCTTGGGCCTTGAAAATACCAGTTTCTGTGCTATCGTTGCTTTTACCGAGTTTCTAAATACGATGAAAACTACGAGGCTACAGCGCTTATCATCAACATTTCATAGACGTGATCTTGTTAGGCATCTTTCTTAAATTAGTTTTGTCTTTTTTTTAAATATATGGTCGTTGTAAAGACAGAGTGTTGACAGGAATCTATAGCGTGGAAGCTAAATCCTAAACACAAGTGATCTGTCACGTTTCATCAGCCTAGGGGGTAACCTCACTGAGTGTTTCGAAACTGAAATGTATGTCTTACTTGGAAGTACAAAGTGGAGATATTCCGTTTGCCAATAAACACGTTTTGTGTTTTAATTCGTATTTCTTTCAAAGAATTAAATAAACCTTAAGAGCATATGGTGGCAGAGGTAGTTTCTACACCTATTGCAATATGATATTTGGAGACCAATATAAACCATAGTTTAGTACTTAAAGTGTGATCTAAATAACTTGCCCAAAATTGTCTGTCGTCAAATGCAAAAATTGACCATCTCAAGATCGTAATACATGTTGTTGTGAGCTATGTTTTGATACTGTAATTCTAGACGTTCACTGGAGGAGGCTTAACGTCACGTGATGAGTACATAGCTCAGTTACAATAATTTTCTTAAGAATATTTGAGGAATGACTTAAACAATATAAAAACACCAGCTAGACTAAAGTAGTAGTAATAAGTTGTTAATTCAACGAAATATTAAAATATTACAGACACAGGATAAGTTATAAAGTAAGTAACTAGCGTTATTTATCTGTGACTTTAGGCTTATCGCTTGAGTACTGTTAGTTACGTTAAAGAACGTGAAATCTATGGAACTTTTAGTTGAAGAAATATAACGCTTTCCTTTCATCGGGTGAAATTAACTTTTTTATTATTTTTACCAAAAGGAACACGCTCAGCGATAAAAACCCGGACAATAATATTATCATGTTACAAGTGTATCTATCATAAAATTATTTCAAATCTAGGCAAAAGTTTAATCAAGGCAGATTTAGTTCACATTATAAATGCGATTTGATTTCACGGCTATCACATCAGATACAATCAAAATTTTTCTGCCTTAATTTTATCTTTCTTTGTCATTGAACAAAAAGGACTGTGTGACGAATCGTTTGTGAATTACTGACAAGAACTACATTTGGAGGAACTAAGAAAGAGGTTAAATTCTTCCAGACGTAAGACGATGCTTCAGGAAAATATTGAAAATAAGAACTACTATAACCTTTGATCACATCGAGAAACCTGTATCGATTTCATATATCAATTGTTTTGAGAAAAGAGACACTGCCAAAATAATCTAGTCTAATAATATACTTTATTGTTTGTTTGTTTTGAAGTTCGCGCAAAGCTACACGAGGGTTATCTCCGCTAGCCGTCCTTAATTTAGCAGTGTAAGACTAGAGGGAAGGCAGCTAGTCATCACCACCACGGCCAACTCTTTTACCAACGAATAGTGGGATTGACGGTTACATTATAACGCCTCCACGGCTGAAAGGGCGAGCATGTTTGGTGTGACGGGGATTCGAACCCGCGACCCGCAGATTGCGAGTTGAGTGTCCTAACCACCTGGCCATGCCGGGCGTACTTTAGTGTTTCTGGGTATAGAGAAAAATTTGATATTTAACAGAAACAGGGAAATTAAAGAAGCTTATTGGATAGCACTATGAAATACTGTAATGCCAAATGGTATCAATCTTGATCTCGGGGTTGTTGACCTTCGTATGTCTCTGAAAAGATTTTCAAAACTTTACTTTACATTATTAGTATTATTCTTCCTTAAATTTCTCTCTATATATTGGTTTGATTTCGTATATATTGAGCTACATTATTATTTTCTCTATTTCCTACCGTCTTTTGCCGTTATTTAATTTTAACTTTATTTCTATATATTTCATCACACTCATTAAACATAACCTTTTATTCTCCTGAAGAAGAATAGTCAACTATTCGAAAGAGTTCGAGTTTTGGGTCTCATTTTGAAAATATTACAACTTTTGTAGGTGATCATGTGTGCTAACTACTTAACCTGGATCTTTATTGTTCCAGATAGTATATTTCAATACTATTAAAGGAAGACTTAAAATCATTACTGGTTTGTCGTTCTCTAAAGTTTTAAGTTTGTATTTGAAACATATACTTGTCAAGAACATTGAAATGAAAAGCTGATTGAGTATAGGATGTTTACGAATTCATGTTTTTTCTTTGCTGGTGCCCCCCAGTGGCACAGCGGTATGTCTGCGGACTTACAACGCTAAAAACCGGGTTTCGATACCCGTGGTGGGCAGAGCACAGATAGCCCTTGTTTAGCTTTGTGCATAATTAAAAACAAACAAACATCTTTGCTGGTTCACGGATCTGATACGTGGAAAGCATTTAGAAAATGAAAACCACGCCAGTTTAATAAAATATTTTTCAAATCACTCAGACTTTGGTTTTGGGTTTGTTTGTTGCTAAGCGCAAAGCTACACAATTGGCTATAGTGCTGTGCTTAGCACGCGTATCGAAACTCGAATTTTATCGTTGTAAGCCTGTATACTTACCGTTTTGCCACGAGATGGGGGGATCACTCAGGCAGACTGAGTGTTTGAGTTCATTTTCAGAAACTTACACCAGGTAGCCATATACTTGTTTGTTTCGGTTATTCGCACAAGCCTATCAAATAGCTATCTGGGTAACGTTTCTAATTTAGAAATGACAGAGGGAAAACAGTAGACAGCAGCACTCGTTACCAGCTGTTGGGCTACTCTAATTGAATAATAGGATATATTGTCACTCTTATAACGCATCTACTGTCCCAAAATGCGGAACGCGATTTTTTTATGGCAAGGGGACAAGAATCCGTTATGCTAACCAATGGACTACTCTCGGTCCATGTCCATAAAAAGATATGTGAAACACAGTGCGAAACTGTTTCTCTTGGCTAAAACTTTAAAACTACTAGAAAGTTAGAAGTCAACTATACTCCACAAATAAAATTATTCAGTCTTATTACAGATTCCCTTACAGACCCGCTTCTTTTGTTAAAGTTCGTGAAAACCATTCAACCACATAAAATGTTTAAACACATTCTGGACCTTAGGGTGAAGTTGAGTCTAAATGAAAATATGTTTGCTTAACTCGATTTGTTTCATTAAAACTGGTACGGATATTTGTTTTCGTAATCCATAGCATATATAAGATCATTAATATTTTCGGAAGTTAATTAACTGCACTGAAACGGAAGTTGCGTAAGTAATTAAATAGATCGCAACTAAAGTAACATTGTACGTGTGAACTGTCTGAGCGTAAATAATTTTGAGATGTGCAGCAGAAAGGTCAGTAGAAATTTTTACAGGTAATAGAACTAAAGAAGGTATTTCAACAGAAGGTTAAGACAAAGATGAGGTTCTCGATACAAGAGGGCAACAGGCTGAAAGGGATTGCCATTAAGGTCCTGGTGGAGGACATGAATAGAATAAACAAAGGAATCTGTAGCATTACTGAGTTCATACTGACGCATACAATCAGAAATGATAATGTCTTTAACATGATCCGATTTAACATGGATTGCTTACTCAGTGTAAGGTATTTTTACATTAGTTCTCAACGAAAATCTTCCTAGACAGGTATCACTGAAAGAGATATCTAATAAGTAGATTTAATTATATGTTTGGGAAAGTCAAGTAAGAATGCCCTCTTCAGTAAAATGACCACTCCTGTTTATAATCAGGTATGAAAAGCTGCCGTCTGGAGTGAATTATATGTAACTATTGATCATGTAACTCATTGCATAAACACAATGGCAGAATGATGCGAATGTGAATGATCAAAGTGGGCTTCACTTTCATGCCTGTAATCTAAGGTAAGCACTTTTAGTTTCTTATAGTTACAAAGCAGATATTTCAGAGAGTTTCACTTTGTTGATTTCAAGTAATGAGGAATTATATACAGTTGAATATGTCGCAAAAGAAGCTCAGATCAAATTCACTAATTTTTTTATAACGTGCGATTAATTTATTATGAATAGCTCAGGGTAAGACCCCCCCCCCCCGTTTTACTCATACCAATAACGCGTATTTACGCCTTAAGCTTCGGCTACGATATATGCCATTGCTCCATATATATGTATATCCTCTTTTTTTTTGTTTTGCATCACTGTTCTAGACAATTTGATGACGAGGAACCCACTTTTTTTAAAGATTGGAGACGGCTTGAATGTGTAGTGAAAGAAATGTTGTACATTTCTAATAAAGTTTATTTCGCTACCCATTCAAGCCGTCTCCAAACTTTGTGTATTAGACAATGCATAACTTGCGCATGTCCTTCCCGATACTATTTATTTTAAATTGCAGTTGTTATTAATTAGATAGGGCCATTTTTATCTTATCTTGGGAGTTTGTTTTATACAACCTTGTATTTAAAACGGCCCCAGCCTCTATATCAAAAAAACATTTTTTTATATCTAAATAAGGTCTATGTCCAATATTTTTTTAATCTAGAAATGAAATTTATAATAAAACAGTGTTCATTTTAAAACCTTTTGTTGTTTCTTAAACATTCATCATAACTATTGAAAACTGCTTTGAAAGATAAGGTGGCCGTCTTATACTACCTTCCGTATCAGAGAAATCTAAAGTACTCCATTGAGAAAATATCTGAACTTTAGTTTGCAAAATCTTTTGAAATGCCGTGAAAGATCCATAAACAGGATTAAGGGAGTTTAACAATAAAATACCTTTTTACACCGTTAGGGGTCAACAGATACCAACTAAAAAGTTGTCTATAACTGAACTCTAATTTGTATTCTATTTATTTAGAAAAGCTTGAACTTAATTCTAATAAACGGTTAAGGATAGAATGGAAATGTGTACGTTTTCTCTAGATAATGATGACAATAGGTTTATTGTTCTTTTTAATTTTATAG